GTCTTCATAAGAAATTTTGATAACGATTTGATTGATAATAGAAAACTGCAATTATGTACGTTATTTTTATGCCAAAATACTGAGAAACTAAAAAGAATACGACTCACAACCAGGGTTGGACTCAGGCGTCAAATCCGAAGATAAGCCCGTTCGTGACGGTGAAATAATTTCGATTAGTGGAAAATACTTTTACAAAATTTTTGGCTTTTCAATTTATAAACGCATGTCCCCACATCTGTGAAATTACGAATAGGGGTAGGTAACTTTCTCAATTACATTTGTAATTGACATTGGACGTTTAACTGATGGAATCTAACGAAATTTAATTAACTTCCTCATCAGTGTCCTAGCGAATCGTTTAGTAATAAAACGAAAATGAAGTAATTGCATCCATTGCACCGGTCAGTTTCAGGCACTGCAAATTCCGACCGTTAAAAAGTTTCAGTGACATAAACGCGTACACATACAACAACATATACGTATCTACCTATTTACATACTGTACACCTAGGTATTGGTAGTCTATGTCAAACTTTGTTTTCAATTTCCTCTGCCGTCAGTTAGTGCAAGATTTATACATGGCATACTAAATTAAATTTCATTGCCGCCAAACCCAATTAATGGCTATATTCACTCATGAACTTACTGCGGAGTGTTTGATTAAATTATTTATAAGAGAAAAAGGTTGTTAAAGGTGTATGTTTGGAGCACGGCGCTGTACGGGTGCGAAACTTGGATAGTGGACGCGGCGGAAAAGAAAAGGTTAGAAGCGTTCGAAATGTGGTGTTAAAAACGCGAATGATGAAGATACCGTGGATAGAGAAGGTTAGAAATGAGTAAGAAAACAGAGGACTCTATGGAAGTCACTAAGAAATAGGCGAGATAGGTTAGTAGGACACCTTCTCAGGCATGAAGGTCTAGTCAGAGACAAATTAGAAGCAGAAACGGGAGTTAGGAGGAGTAGAGGTAGACCTAGATTAGATTACTGTTTGCAAATAGTTAAGGATGTGGGATGTTCTAGTTTTGGGAAATGCGAAGATTAGCTCAGGATAGGAAAGAGTGGAGGTGCGTGTTCAACCAGTCTTAGGACTGACGACCTAATGATGAAGAGAATTTAGATCAGGACAAATACTTCTTAATTTCTCCACACTTCTCTACCAAACAATCATTATTATCTGAAGAAACTTTCTTATGAATTGATAACCGATGGTGGAGATCCTTCGGTAATCAATCGAATATCGTCATACGATGTATGAATCATTACACAAATATAAATTGCACATCAGGCTCGTTCCGGCACTTTGTCGTTTGCAAAATTTGTCAATTCTACATAATTGATTTCAGCTTTTATTTCTAAATGGAAATTGTATTGGGACGGATTTCGCGTTGTGCATAATTAATTAGAAAAGACGAAGGAAGTGCAATAGCCAGGATTGTAATGTAATGGTTAAATGTGCTACAGGAAGCAAGCCATGGCGTAACGTCTGCTATGTGTGAATATCTGTGCTATCGGCCTTAACCGTCATTTAATTTTTTTTTACGCGTTTTAAAAACAACAACCCGAACACTTCGGAAAACTATAAAAAGTAAAACCGATTTAAAACTGATTTAGTAGTTCTTTGGTGTTGTTCGGGTCAACAACAGAAACGAAAAGTAAGACAACATGTGGGGTGCAATTTTCTTTTTGTCTCCAGTGTTGGCTTACGTTCAGTACGAGAGACATTTACCGGATTCGATAACGTCTGATACTGTTTACGATTTCGATTACGGCAACTATAGGAACTTGGATGACGAAAAGGATTTGGAGCCGGACTCGTCTGAATACGATCCAACGCCAATATCGTATCAATACGGCCACAAATACGGGTATGATTTTCCTAAAAGTGGGCCAAAATCTGACATACACAATATTCCATACCATTACGAATACGACCACGATCTGGACGATCCGAATCACCATTACGAGTACATTTCAGAAAGTAACAACTTATATTCCGAAATGGATGATGATCCATTGTTCAATTATGAGTATGGAAGTGATTTTAATCACAAAGATTACGGTTTTGACGAAGGAGAAGTTTATTTTGGCGGAGAAGAAGCAAATTCCGGAGGAAATGCTGATACCGGCCGTGTATCGAAACACGAACATGATATTGCCAATAAAGGTTCGCACCACGAAGATGGAGACGCCGGTTATTATAATGTCGAAGGCGAGCAAAAACAAGCGCACTACGATAGTAATGAGCAATACGATACAGGAAATTCCGGTGGTTATGAATACGGCGGTGAAAAGTTCGAAAACTCAAAAGGGCACAAGAAAGGCTCGCATACTACAGGATTCCACAAAGTTTACAGTAAAGACGATTACAAGAAAGACCACAAATTCTACGATTCCGAAGATAAATATGGAAGCAACGAGAAGTACGGAGATGCGCATTCTTATCACAAGAGTAACGAAGGAGAACATAAGGACGGGGGCAGCCACGACACACTGCAGCGAGAAGACGACGGTGCCGTTCAAAATTATTATAATAAAGGTCATGATGACGGCAATCAGGCGGGAATGAGTGACATCGAAGGCGATGAAGTGCACTACGTCCATCATCAAGAAGAAGGGAAGAAAGGGGGAGAGGATGGAGCACAACTGTCAGGGATGCAGGACGATGAAGATGGAGATGGAGAGTTTTTGGTGCACGTGTACGATTGAAAACACGAAAAAGACTGACAAGATTTAGCGTCTAAGTTTCTATAGGTTTTACGTGTACAGAGTACGAAAGGAATGTAAAAAGTAAGATTAATTTAACGAAATTGTAGGTACGAATTAAATTTATTGTTTCAAACGAATTTTGTTTCGTAAAATTAATTAGGTAGCTAGTTTAAAACGCTCAAAGAATAATTACGTGTCTAGGGAAGAATGTACGGCATTCCCTCCAAGGTATGAATTGCTATCTGAGCCGAAGGCGACGATAGCAAACACCACGAGGGGTGTTCGTATCCCTACCCCGAAAGTATGATTTTAAAAAATAAAAAAGAATTTAAACTCAAATTGTATCCCAATGAAAAGAAAGGATCTTTCACTTATAAAACATAAGAGCGGAAAAATCAACTCTTATCCTGAACTATGAAAATTTATGTCAACGAAATGTGTTTGCCAATTTTCTCACAAAGGTTTTATAACTAAAACTTCCTTTCTTTTCATTGGCACCCAGTTTAAAAACACAGAATTGTATATTATTTTTTTTTATTAAGTATACTCGGCTGTTCAAGCCCTTTGGGCTGTTGTAGATTGCATGCCGTTCACTACTAGACCTTCAATCATTATTAACTATCTTACGTTACAAAGCTGTGCAATATGATGTCACGGAAATTCACATTTCTATTATCTTTCTTATCATGCGGCAAATTATCAACCCCCAAAAAGTCTTGCGGTATAAAATCGGAGAGGGGGGGGTCATGCAATAAAACTGCCAACAATAGAGCGCTTTTGCTCATGCCTAAGTGCAATTACAACTTTATAGCACCATTCAAACGAATCTCGTTGTATATTCTGTGTCTATAAAACATAAAATAGTTTGAAAACTTTCAAAAGGGTATATTCAAAGAAATTCCAATACTCAATTTTATCGAAATTATTACGCATGTAGCATAACATTTTTGTTGAATTTCAGCTGGAAAGATAAACTCAATAAGTGTTAATATTGTTGTTAAATAACATTCTGGCCGCCCTCCTTATTTTTGCTTATAAATATTCTACGTGTTTTATTCCTTCAGCCGCCACTTTAGATGGCTTAGAGTTTAGGTAGGTGTATTAACTGACTTATTATATCGATTGAAAAAATATTTAAATTGAGTCTACCTCGCTTCGTGACAAATTAAAATGTCGAATAATAGGATTTCCCTATGACATCACGAGTCATGTACCTTTGACTCTATTTCCAATCGACGGAAATTGTCGAGAATCGACTCATTTCTTTCGACTACAACGATTTGATACGTGCTAATTACAATCCTTCACGGCTATTTAAACGTGAAACAAGTGACTAACTTTTTACATCAAATCTAATATAAACATTGACCCAAATAAATATCAAAAACAGTTCAAAAACTTTACAGTCAACAATGCCATTAATTATGCACTATTAATAAAAAATGTAGGCGAAAAAGGCTTTGCTGCTGTACTTCTAATTAATATAAACAGGTATCACGTCGTATGCCACAATTTGCTTTTCTTTTGGAAATATAAATATATTTAAGTGGTTTTATAAGTAAGAAGCGAATTATTCAAACATATATATATATATGTTTCGCAAAACCTTGTACATAAAATCTATACGAAGTATGCAAAAAAGTAGGCTATCGTTCGTTCTAAAAGCGACGAAAACATTGATCGAAAAGGCCTTCTGTAATGTCTGACATTGAAGGGAAGCAAGAAAAAAAAAAAAAAGAAAAAACTCGGCTAACATAAACATCTTTTCTTTTACGCATACAATACCAACAATGAGACTTGACAGGCTACAGTACGTGGATTATATATTTACATTCTGCTTACATTTGAGCCTTAAATAAAGCAGGCTTCATTTTTTCTGTTAGAAATAATACAGTATTTTCTTCATTAGGGTTGCGAACAATACAGGGCTGCCGCAATACGAGACAATACGAGGTGTGAATACCATTCTTGTTATCGAAAAATAATTCAAGAAAGAGTTATACTCAAGACCTTGAGCAAGCTACTTGCTCATCTTGATCTTGATCCTGATCCTGATCTCATGTGACTATCTACTGTTCTTGATTGTCAAGTAAAGATCGATATATTCTTGATAATTTGACAGAGCTGCTTTTCATAATAAATTTACATTACTTACTATTACAAAAGTAATGTAAATTAATTACATTAATATTTTTACAAGTGATTTCTTTAAAGTTTCGTCAAGGAGAAGAAAAATTACCCAGTTGCAAAATGTATTTTATTTATTTTTCGTTATTTCTATTCGTGTACTTACATATTATATTGGCTATATTATATGACAAAGAATTAAAAAAGTTGTTGCTAAAATCTATATAAGCACTAGAAGATACAAAGGCAAATAAATAGTTACCTAAATACAAAAATATGTATATGTATGTACATTTTTGGTTTGTAATTAAGTGTTCAATCACGGGGTGTTTTAAATGAAACTTCCACCCCCTTGTCCGCCGCCTGCGATACCACTACTTTGTCCACTCTGGCCACCGAATTCGAAAGTTTTTCCATTTTTTTTCTCTTGTTCTCCTTTAAATCCGGCATGATTATCGTGGTACGCATCCTCACCCTTCTTGCCAGTGAACCCTTGATCCTTTTCGGAGTACTGATCCTTATTAAATGCCTTCTTTTCGCCGCCTCCTTTCTCCTGGTATCCCGAAACCAATTTACCACCGTTCGTTTGTGCACCCTCGGACGCGCCATGGTGACCATAATTTTTGCCAAACTTCTTGAAATGTCCTCTTTCGTCTGCCTCGTCGTAAAACGTGTTATCCTTCTTAAATTCGTCCTTGTCGAAGACTTTGTGATAACCGGTTACCTTTGTACCTTTACTATGCCCTTTGTTTTCATGGGCTTTTCCACCCTCGTAATTTTTGGTTTCTTCGAATTTGTTGCCGCCAAAGTCTGAGGAGGAGTAACTACCCTTTTTGTTACCACCTTTGTGATTAAAGAAGTCTTTGCTTGTATCAGTCGCGTGGGAGCCTTTCTCACCCTTGTCGTACCCATGGACCGACTTGTACTTAGTTTCACCCTTTTTTCCGCCCTTGTTTTGTTCTTCCGCTTTATAGATATGACCGTCATTGTTCACGAAATAGTAAGGGTAGTTTCCGTATGCATATACATGTCCTACCTCCCCTTTTCTAGCGTAAGGGTACAATCCAGCAGGTTGTTCACCACCACCAGCGCTACCGCCACCTCCTCCTCCGTTTCCAGATGCAATTCCAGTACCACCTCCGCCTCCACCATTACCACCGTAAGGATAATGGGGATAGAGACCGGGGTGTGGAGGATATTTGTCAGGTTGACCGTTTTGTGGGAAGTGTATTTTATCACCAAAACCTTCATCAAAATCAAATGGCATCTCTCCAGTGTCCAAGTAAGGGTACATTCCGAAGGATGGTCTTCCCTTAAATTCAGCGCCAGCAAAGTCGTAGTTGAGCGCGTCGTGGCTGCCATCGTTGTCTGCCACCTGGTACGTTCTAGTTTCTTGGGGGTTGTTGCTTTGAGGACTTTTATTCTGATTTGGTGAAGATACCGAAGCAACTGGTGCGCTGTGAGCTTTTTCATGCGCAGGATGAATGATACTCCCACCGGAGTACGTGACTGGGCCTTGATTACTTCCTTTTTGCGAATAATCCTTCCATTCTTTGGCGTTATCGTCGGAATTATCCTTATAACCTACAGCAGCGTTTGAATAGGTTGAGCCAGACTTTCCTGAATCTCCGTTTCCGTTAGAGGATGTATAGGTCGACCCTTCGTATTTTACGTTACCAAAATCACTAGTCTCGTCTGAAAACGAGGAACAGCCCACACCATAACATTTTCTGGTTGGCACGTAGCTGCTTTCGGTAAGTTCCGACTGGTATGGGGTATACTTAGGGAGATACCGATAATTTATAATTGGTGCTCCGAACTGTCCATTTTGCTGTCCAGGTCCTTCGGCAACGTCATACTTGTAACCTGACGAAGAAGACACAGAATCTTCGAGGGTAGTTCTCTTTACGTATCCTTTGGTCTGCATGATAGCATTGGAAGACGCCGTCGAGAAAAACAAAAGGAATAAGAACCACATTTTGCTGTTAGCCACACATACGTACATAAACGATTGCTAAATGACAATGTCGTACTGATCGCGAAATGATCGTAGCTGCGCTTTTATATCTGTTTAGTAGTTTTCGTTTTTATCCGAATTATTTTTAACAAGCTGCCGCTTGTATTGTGTGTTTTTAATTCGAAGGTCTGTTTGTTAAGGTCCAGCGGTCGGATGCTGTGTTTGTTCACCTCGATCAGCCTCGGCGGTCATTCAGACGCTGAACTTGGACCCGCTATAGCGGGTTTCTTGCGTAAAGCAAGGCAATTTCTTTCTGCATTCTTAACTAGGACTTTGCCGACAAAAACGGATTAACATTCTGATTGATGTAGATTACTTTGAACCGGGAAAATCCACACAACTTCCATTAACTCACCATACACAACCGAATGAAAAACGATCTAGGATTACGTAGATTCAAGGAGGTCGTATTTATTTTAATAACACATCACCTTATCCCACAAAATTTCATGGGCTATTAAAAAACATAAAACACATAAAAAAAACAAAATTACTAAATAGTAAAATAGACAGTTAAGTTTAAAAATGCTACTTTTTTAAAATAAACAGAAAAGTCCTTATTTAAAGATAATCTTAAATCTTTTTAAATTAAATTCAAATTAAATATCCAAGCAGTAGTAACTTAATTTAAACACATTTATGCATACACATCATCATCATCATCATCATTAGGTTGTCAGTCCTGGTGTGACACGCACCTCCAGTTTTTCTTATCCTAAGCTAATTTTCGCATTTCCCTAAAACTAGAATATCCCGAATCCGTAACTATTTGTGAACAGTAATCCAATCTAGGCCCATCTCTACTCCTCTTAACTCATGTTTCTGCTTTTAATATGTCTCTGACTAGCCGTTCATGCCTAGGAAGTTATCCTACCAACATATCTCGCTAACTTTTTATTGATTTCCATAGTAGAGTTTTCTGTTCTCCTAATCTTTCTAATACCCCTTCATTTCTAACCTCTATCTACGTTCTACGGTATCGTCATCATTCGCCTGTAATATCACATTTCGAAGACTTCTAACATTTTCTTTTCCGCTGCTCCTACCGTCTGTGTTTCGCACTCGTACAGTGCCGCACTCTAAACATACACATTTCACAATCTTTTTCGAGTTTTTAAATTAACCGTTCCTAGGCATAGAAGTCTCTTCTTTTTGTTAAGGGCGACTCGATCCTGCGCTATCCCCTGTTTTATACACAACATAAGAAACATGTATTTAACCAAAAAGGTTTCTAATAATGTTCAATTGTTTTTATGTACATTGCCAACATCACTATTTGCTTCGTTAAATCGCCTCTGGATTTAGACATTTAAGGGGACGAAGTAGGGAAATTGGTTCGACAAGGAAAGGTATTACACGGGCGAAAGCACAATCATCCCCTATTATACTTTTTTTGTCAACTTCTAAACATTTTGCGAGGGAGTTTCATGAAAACTGTTTACTGTTTTCCACATATTCGGGCTCATCAAGTGAGGCTTCTTGGTATCCTGAATAAAATAGAGCTCGGAGATATTTTAAAATGATATGCTGTAGTCGATACTTTGAATTGTTGAAGTGCCTGCACAAACAACAGGAAAAACTTTACAGAAAAAGGGAAAATCAGGTAAAACTGACTACGACCTAAAATTGTTTTAATATTCCAATTCCGTGCCGCAAAAATTCTTTGAACGTCTTAGTATTTCCATTTTAGCATTCCAGTGTGGTTGAGGACGTGCAATTACGAAAGAAACAACCCCTATTCATAATAAATTTATGTCATCTCCTACTGCTGGCGAATAAGTAAGTTTCCCTTCTTTGGCTTCCCAATTATTTTTTCTAGTTTTGCAAGCGTAAATTTTGTATCGGATTATGGCCGAGATGGTCGTTAGAATTCCAGGCAGAAATCTCATCTGACGGGAGCGAAAATGAAGACGACATTTTAAATACGTAACTCACATCCGGCGATAGATGTGACATGAAACATGCATTTATGATGATTGCGATGTACTTTTCCAAGCGAAAATTTCAAGATATCCTACTATCCAACAAGATTGCATTTTTTAATTTTCACATTGATGCAATAATACTAAGCACAGGATAAATCCAAATAAATATATCACGTGTTTATAAAACAATCAGGAATATGAGCAATAAAAATATCATAAAGGGTAAACAGAATGTGGTTTAAATAGCAAAAATGTTGCTACGAAATTTAGTCTTTTAGAAAAAAGGAAATTCATTTAACAAAAAAAATATTTAAACACAAGACTTTTTTAAATAGATACTTGAAATTGTATTATTTAAAATATTTAAATAAATGAATCAATTAATCTACTAGTTGATTATTTTTGAACTATCCAAAACGAATAAGCCGCAGGTTTTTTGCCCAACACACAACATATGAATTTTGTGTTAACCGGGTGATATCTCACATTTTCATTCATATTACGATTAAAATATTTTGTTTCGGATACTTCTCATGGCTTCATAGAACTCGTAGATTTTTAATTCATCATTAATTAGTACCTATTGTGTAATAATTGTGAAAAAACATTAAGGCTACTTACTGCATAGTTATCTAGTATTAAAAACCGATCAATATTGTTTTATTAGTGTGTTTTGTGTGTAGACATACAGGGTTAAGCCTATGTGTGTATGTGAATGCGGTTTTGCGGTTGCAATCAATTATGATTTCATAATAGAACAATTTGCGACCGATTGTGAGCAACAAGCTGAAGTGTAGTGTTAAATAGCGTGAACTCTTTTGAGGAAATTCCTAGATTAGGAAATACTTTAATCACATAAATATTTAATTACAGTTTACCCAATTGAACACCAAATAAAATTAAGTTGATTAGTCAACAGTGACAATAACTAATTTTCATATCGGAATTAATGGTAGTGGCTAATTAATAATCCTTTAGTATTTCTACCACAATAAACATTACAAGTAATAGTAAGAATAACAAATCAGGAAATTTACTAAGAATTTTTGAGAAATACAGTTTGTTTACATGTAATTCATATTTTTTATAGGAATGGGAAGTTAGAAGAGAACAGAAAAATTTCTTAATGATACGGCAACTGTAATTGTTACAGTACTTTTTGCGGCGAGAAATTAACAATTTGCACCTCGTTGGATTTCAAGAATATTACCAATTGAAAACCAATTTGGGTGCATTGATACGTTCACGTATACGAATGACCTTTGCCGTCCATAGCATTTGAACTTGAATCCGAAATCGATAAGTCTGGACTGCTAATTAGGTCGTATCTACATTTTATAATAATTCATTCAAACGAATGCATATTTACTGTCAGAATTAGGAATTAGGGGAAAGGGCGCATTAATCGTATTTGAATTGAAATATCACATGACTGAACTTCAAAACGTCACAAGACATTTTTTTTACATCTAAGAAGGCTTCTGTAAAGACATCTAACTTAATGGGGTAAGTAAAAGAAAACGTTCAATACTCATTTAATTCTATAGTAAGGGAGGCTCATGGAACTATTTTTCCAAAAATCTCATTATTTCGAGCATCGATCTGCCGAGTACTAAATCCGTAATACGTATATTGGTTTGCTGTTTACAAAAATCTTCCCTTAAAATAAGGGATACAGTCAGGTCAAGCTATAGAGTGAGTAAAAGGGTTCTGATAGACTATCACCAGGTCAGACTAAATAGGGCATACGTTAAAAAGGTTCAAATGTCGGAATGCTGCCCTAACAAGTTTCCAGTCGGGCCCTTATTAATAGAAATCGGATTCTATAGCTTTTTATCTTGTTAGAGAGAAAAATTTATGTGAATTGTACCGAAGCTGAAACCTAATAAGCGATACGTTCAAAAGCAAAAACAAAGTCCCTACTGCTTTCTCCTTTGTTTCGTATTCTTTGACTTTTTTTAATATTTGCTTTTGTCTGGTTTCATTTTGTATCGGAGCAAAAGTTAAAGTTGCAGTACAATAATGGAGCCCTATCGTTTTACATTCCTCTGGTTATTAGACCTTTTCCGAGTTCGTAAGCAAAGTACTTCACCGGTTCACATTCTATACGAAACCGATTATGATGGAAATATGTCATTTCCAACAACTTGCTCAAACTCAAACAAAAGTTTTATGATGAAAGGAGTAACTATTTTTCAAAAGATATGTTTATCTAGGATGTAGGCCATGTAAATAAAGCAATCACGAGTAATTATCACAAAGTTAATGCAGGAATTGTAGTCCTTTCACCAGAGGATTACTTATTGGTAAAGAATATATTTAGGATGGTATCAGTGGTTAGATGTTACAAATACGTCAATTTTAAATTAACAGTTAACTATAAATTCCCCTGAGTGGTATCAATAAAATAATACGTGCCAAATAGGGGTGAAAACAATTTTTATTTTAAAAAACAACCAACGTTTCGCCTTAGATTGGAGATTAACCAGCCGTAAGTGCACCCCATGAAGAAACAAAACTCACAAAAACAGTTAAAGATAAAGTAATAAATAATTAAAATCATTAATAACTTGAATAAATAAAAACCACCTCTTAGTATTTTGCTGTGTAACTGTTAGCTGTTACCTTTTTAACGTTTTTTAACTAATTTATTTTTATTTTGTTTTATAAATACCTTGATAAAGTTTCTAGTTTAAGGTGAAACGTTGGTTGTTTTTTAAAATAGAAAATCTTTTCATCCCTTATTCGGTACGTATTATTTTATTAAACTACAGTTAGATGTTTAGTGTGACTGTAGTATTTGCAGCGAGCAAAAAATCAATTGATTTATACGTTAACATCAGGTGATTACTTTATGCCAATTAATGTACGTTTAAGTTTCATTATTTATCTAGCAAAATGAAGTCCTTCACTTGACGCCAATTAAACTACGATAAAACAATTTTGGTAGAAAACATATGATCATTTTTCTTTCTACTGACTGTATTGTCTTCTTTTTGTGGCTTTTTGTATAAATAAGTGTGTATATAGTTGGACGCAAGAGGGAAGGCCGTAATCACAAAAAAGTAACTA